GCTTAATTAGACACACTGATAAAGATTTATTGGTTTATCAATCAGAGCCTGTGGCCAGACAGAGCCCTGAGCGGAGAGAGAGAGAGAGAGAGAGAGAGAGAAACAGAGAGAGAGAGAGAGAGAGACAGAGAGAGAGAGAGAGAGAGAGAACTCTGTGACCTGCGACACGCACAATACATAAAACACATACACACACAGGCACACTCTACACACACACAGACAAACACACACCCACACACTCATTTACACACACATATATACGCATTCCACACACACTCACACTCACTCACAAAAACAAAACACACTCTAACACACACACTCACACAATGCTTAAAACACATGCACACACACTCTCACACTCTCTCTAACACACACACAGAGACTACACCTAGACATACACACACTCTTATGTACACAAACACACACACACTCTCTCTCTCTCTTTCTTTAAAGCACATACACACACTCTAACACACACACACAAGTGAAGCACAGGTGATTTCCCTCAATCAAGCGGGACTTGACTGGAGGATGTTAAAGAGTGAGACTCATCTTAGTGATTTCAGAGCAGATGTTGAAGACTGCAGAGTGTTGCATCACCATATTGACTTCAAATTCTGTTTGAAACGGAGCCCAAACACCAAAACAAACACACTCATCTCTACACAGCTCCTGTCCCTCAGAATCTAACATGCTGTTTACCATGGGAATAATCATAGTATCAGTCAAATACGTCTTACTGTACTTACTGCAGATTTCATGATCATATTGTAAATTAGCACTATAAACTCACTGGCCACTTTATTAGGTACACCTTACTAGTAACAGGTTGGACCCTCTTTTGCCTTCAGAACTGCCTGAATCCTTCATGGCGTAGATTCAAGAAGATACTGGAAATATTCCTCAGTGATTTTGCTCCATATTGACATGATAGCATCACACAGTTGCTGCAGATTTGTCGGCTGCACATCCATGATGCCAATCTCCCGTTCCACCACATCCCAAAGCTGCTCTATTGGATTGAGCTCTGGTGACTATGGAGGCCATTTGAGTACAGTGAACTCATTGTCATGTTCAAGAAACCAGTCTGAGATGATTGAGCTTTATGACATGGTGCGTTATCCTGCTGGAAGTAGCCATCAGAAGATGAGTACACTGTGGTCATAAAGGGATGGACATGGTCAGCAGCAATACTCAGGTAGGCGTTGACACGATGCTCAATTGGTACTGATGGACCCAAGGTGTGCCAAGAAAACACCACCCCCACCAGCCTGAACCGCTGATACAAGGCAGGATGATCCATGCTTTCATGTTGTTGATGCTGAATTCTGACCCGACCATCTGAATGTGTCAGCAGAAATGGAGACTCATCAGAGCAGCAACATTTCTCCAATCTTCTATTGTCCAGTTTTGGTGAGTCTGTGTGAATTGTAGCCTCAGTTTCCTGTTCTTAGCTGACAGGAGCGGCACCCGGTGTGCTCTTCTGCTGCTGTAGCCCATCCGCCTCAAGGCTGGACGTGTTGTGTGTTCAGAGATGCTCTTCTGCAGAGCTCGGTTGTAACGAGTGCTTATTTGAGTTACTGTTGCCTTTCTATCAGCTGGAACCAGTCTGGCCATTCTCCTCTGACCTCTGGCCTCAACAAGGCATTTGCGCCCACAGAACTGCCGCTCACTGGATATTTCCTCTTTGTCGGAGCATTCTCTGTAAACCCTAGAGAAGGTTGTGCATGAAAATCTCAGTAGATCAGCAGTTTCTGAAATACCCAGAGCAGCCCGTCTGGCATCAACAACCATGCCACGTTCAAAGTCACTTAAATCTCCTTTCTTCATGTGATTGGCCGATTTAAAAAATTTGCCTTCACGAGCAGTTGGACAGGTGTACCTAATAAAATGGCTGGTGAGTGTGTGTGTGTGTGTGTGTGTGTGTGTGTGTGTGTGTGTGTGTGTGTGTGTGTGTGTGTGTGTGTGTGTGTGTGTGTGTGTGTGTGTTGATATTTTTGACAAAAAATATGAATAGTTTTTGATCAATTAGATAAATTACGATTTAGACAAAAATCGTTTTAAATAAGTGTATCATACTTATAAATCAAATACACTTTAACTTTTCTCCAAAGTCTCAAAATGTATAAACATTTATTACAATCGATAAAATGTATGCATAATAATAATTATGATAAATTACAATAAATAACCATCTTCTCTTTCCAAGCAGTTTCAAACAGACTTAATTAGTTAAAGACATTTTTAGAAAAACAAATATGTACAAAAGAATATAATAGTAGACTCAACTATTACTGTCAACTACTTCATAAATTCAACAAATCCTAACACAAAAAGGTACGATTGAATGAAATATATGCAGACATTACCTTAGCTACTAACTATGTCAAAAATGAAATGATATTAACATCTAATAATAAATATAAATGCATATTAGTTATTATATAATTTTGTTTACGTTAAGGATTTGTTTTAAAGGCGCAGATCACCCTAAAATAAAAATGTGCTCATCCTCCACTTGATGCAAACTAGTTTGAGTTTATTGTACTGTTGAACACAAAGGAAGATATTTTGAAGAAAGCTGGAGAACTGTAACCATTGACTTCCATAGTAGAAAAACTCAAAAATGAAACTATTTACTCTCCCTCAAGTGTTTCAAACCTTGAGTTTGTTTCTTCTGTTGATTTTTGACTTCTATGGTATTTGGTTTTCCTACTATGGAAGTCAATGGTTACAGGTTTCCAGCTTCCTTCAAAATATCTTCCATGGTGTTCAACAGATGAAAGAAAGTCATGAATGTTTTAAAGAATGAGTAAATGATGACAGAACTTACATTTTCGTGTGAACTATCCCTTTAAAAGCACTCTAAATGTTAAAATAACTCTTCACTGTATTTAAAAGTGCTAATGACATTAATATTATACAGGTTGATTTATAATAATGACTGAATATCGGCATGTGTCCAATTGTTTCAAACCTTTATTAGTTTCTTTCTTCTGTTGAACACAAAAGAAGACACTTCAAAGAATGCTGAAAACCTGTAACCATTGACTTCTACAGTATTTGTTTTTCCTACTATGGAAGTCAATGGTTACAGGTTTCCAGCTTCCTTCAAAATATCCTCCTTTGAGTTCAACAGGAGAAAGTCATAAAGAAAGTATGTGTAAATGGTGCCAGAACTTACATTTTTGTGTGAACTATCCCTTTAAAAACACTAACAGTTTAAATAACTCTTCACAGTATTTAAAAATGCTCTTGATATCAATATTGTGCATGTTGTTCATGATCTTGACTGAACATCGGCATGTGTCTAATTGTTTAAACCTTCATGAGTTTCTTTCTTCTGTTGAACACACAAGGAGACACTTCAAAGAATGCTGAAAACCTGTATCCATTGACTTCCATTGTATTTGTTTTTCCTACTGTGAAAGTCAATGGTTGCAGGTTTCCAGCTTCCTTCAAAATATCTTCCATTGTGTTCAACAGAATAAATAAACTCAAACAGGTTTAAAAGAATGATTAAATGATGGCAGAACTTACATTTTTGTGTGAACTATCCCTTTAAAAGCACTGTAAGTGTTTAAATAACTATTCATTGTACAGGGTGGGCCATTTGCATGGATATACCTTATTAAACTTGTTGTGAATTTCACATGAAAAAACAACGGTGTTGAGCACAAAGAAAGATATTTTGAAGAATGCTGAAAACCTGTAACCATTGACTTTCACAGTAGGAAAAACAAACACTATGGAAGTTAATGGTTACAGGTTTCCAGTTGCCTTCAAAATATCTTCCTTTGTGTTCAACAGAAGAAATAAACGTATAAATGTTTGACACAAGTAAAGGGTGAGTAAATTATATTTGTTGGGTGAACTACCCCTTTAAAAAAAAAAAAACATTTGTGAATAATAAATTAATGTTCACAGTATTTTGAAGCGTCCATGATGTCAATATTGTGCATGTTGTTCATGATCACGACTGAATATCAGCAATTGTTACAAAGCCTTTGGAGTTTCTTTGATCTGTTGAACACAAAAGAAGATACTTCGAAGAATGCTGAAAACCTGTAACCACTGACTTGCATAGTATTTGTTTTTCCTACTATAGAAGTCAATGGTTACAGGTTTCCAACCTTCGTAATATATTCCATTGTGTTCAACAGAAGAAAGAAACTCAAACAGGTTTAAATGAATAAGTAAATGACAGAATTCAATTTTTGTTGCGTGAACTATCCCTTTAAAAACACTTTAAAACCTTAAATACATATTAATAGTGTTTTGAAGTGCCGATGATATCAATATTGTGCATGTTTTATGCATGTTCATGATCCCGACTGAATATCGGCATGTGTCTAACTGTTTCAAACCTTCATGAGTTTCTTTCTTCTGTTGAACACAAAAGAAGACACTCCAAAGAATGCTAAAAAAAACCTGTAACCATTGACTTCTATAGTATTTGTTTTTCCTTCAGTGAAAGTCAATGGTTACAGGTTTCCAGCTTCCTTCAAAATATCTTCCATTGTGTTCAACAGGAGAAAGAAACTCATGAAGGTTTGAAAGAATGAGTAAATGATGACAGAACTTACATTTTTGTGTGAACTATCCCTTTAAAAGCACTCTAAAATCTATACACAGTGTTTTGAAGTGCTAATGATATCGATATTGTGCATGTTTTATGCATGTTCATAATCAAAACTGAATATTGGCATGTGTCTAATTGTTTCAAACCTTTTTTTCATAAAAAAAACCTCCTCAAGGTTTGAAACAAGTAAATTATATTTTTGAGTGAACTACCCCTTTAAAAACACTCAAAAATTTTCAATAATAAATAATTGTCCACTGTATTTTGAAGTGTCCATGATATCAATATTGTGCATGTTATTTATTAAGGGCATGTGTCTGCCTGAGAGTGTGAGGGCCGCCGGGGTACTGATCTGCAGGCTGGTGGCGCGCTGCCCCCGTGTGCCCGCAGCCGGTACTGCAGCAGCTCACAGCCATACCTGAATGTTCCTCCTCCAGGGTCATTCAGCTTGTTCTTCTGGTTTGCCGAGAGCTGGATGGTGACGCCCGCGGGGCATCTGCCTGTCTGGAGGGCCGCAGGCTTCCCTAAAGTACCTGGGAAAACACAATACTGCATTATCACAAACGCACACACGCCTATCAAACATGCTTCTGGCAGGAGCTCAAGCAGGTCAGCTGTGGCAGACGCATGTCATATTTCATGCAGAAACACTGCATTGAGCATAAAGATCAGGATTTTCTGCATATAATTAATGCTAATGTTTTACTGTTGTGCATTTGCAGACTTTGAGTTTACTTGACTTTAAGATTAGGAGACCTTTACTCATAAAACTAAACCATTTAATAATTAAATACTAATAATATTGTCGACAATAATTGAAATGTAAATAACTAATTAATTATTTTAATAAAATTAATTTCTCTGTTTTTAATTATTTTTTTGCAGTAAATTAATTCTTACATTTTTCAGACTCATGCAAAACACTTGCTTTGGCATAGAGATATTAAAATAACATGAAGATTTTCTGCATTGTGAGTTTTTTCCAACTATTAAATATATTTGATGCTAAACTTTTAGCTGTCTGTTGTGATGCATCTGCAAGCCTTTAGAGTTCACTTGATTCATTTTGATTTTAAGATAAGGAGACTGTCACAAAATTAAATAATTTATTACTTGAATGATAATAAAATAATAATAATAATAATAATAATAATAATCTATATTAATAAATAATAATAATCATATAAATATTATTAATAATAATCATCATCATCATAATAGCAATATTAATAATAATAATAGCAACAACAACAATAATAATAATAATAATAATAGCAATATTATTAATACAAATAATACAAATACTACAAATAATAATAATATTATTATTATTATTATTATTATTATTAT